AAATATTATTCTCTGCAGTTGTGATGAAAAAATTGATAAATTACTAAATAACAAAATTTTATCGTAATTTTTAATAATTACTCTAACCCAATTTTTTATTTCAATTTAAAATCGACAAAATTAATTGTTAATTTTTTTATAAGAAAATATTTTGCGCGGTGGAAAATGTTGGACCAATATACATTTAAATGGCAAAAATTGTAGAAAAATCTTTTCGTACCTTGACAGAAAGAAATAAAAATAAATATATGCGTTTTTATTTGAAATATCAAATAAAAACGCATATATTTATTTTTACTTTTTATATCAAAATGAGACAGCTTCTTTTACATTTATATCAAACAGCTCTGACGATTTACGTGACCCAGTCTCCTCCATCTTACGACGAGAGCAATTCTGATGCGAATCGTCCGCAAAATTGAAAATGCCACGAATAGCGCCGACAACAATCGCGATCGATACGAAATTGCTCGAGGTAATCAGTTCGGATATGATTGACTGGCTTTGAAATACGTGCGGATATTAATAGAAGGGCGTTGGGATGTAATATCTCGCTTTACGGTTTCGCATTTTTAGCTCGACATGCGACGTGAACGAGTTTCGAGATGCCATTTTCATTAATCGCGGTTACATAATTCCAACAACGACTACAGGATCAATGAAAAGAAATAAATTAGTCGGATTATTATCCGCGGGCTCTCTCGGCATATACAGGAAGAACGTGATTAAATCGTCGTACGATTGCTCCCTATTCAAAGCAAACATTAAACAAATCTGAACAATAAATGTGTATTTGTGTGTGTGATTTTTCAAGCAAAGAATTAAAGATACGAATAATTTCGTTGATTTTTCAGGATTCTATTTGAATCTCGTAAAAAAGTTCCCTCATCTTCCATTATTTTTATTCAAAATAAAACAGAATAAAAAGAATATTTTGAAGATTTTTTGATGCAATTTTTTATTGCGTGCGTTTTTTAATATTTTTCATTCGTAGAAAAAACACAAAGCCTTTCAAATTTCAAAATGTTAGATTTGTAAATTAAAAAAAATGATTAACTTTTATAAAATAAGAAATTTTGCAAAAATATTTCTTTTTAATTTTTTTTAGTAAAATTATAACAAAAGATATTTATTACATATTTAATATTTCATCAAGACGTTGAATATATGGACAAAAATAAATGTTCATGATACATTTTAAACGCATAATTTGCATGCTGTTTCCAATACCTAAGAGTAAAATTATTAAAGAGAGAATTTTTTTTTTTAATTTCCTGAATTCTAATTAAATTTCAATTTGAAATTTTCTAATTTTTCCAAAAGAAATCTCTGAAAATTCCAAGCTTTCTATATTTTTCCAGAGAGTAAACAACCTGTCTTTTAAGAAGCGCTCTCGAAATAATATTCCTGATTTTTTAACGAGAGGCATTCAACTGTCAAATAATTTTTCCTCGACTTTTCTATTGACACATATAAAAATATAATATCGAGCAAGACAAGCGATTTGTTTTCTAATGTCGGTCGAAAGCAGTGACGGCGCACAATGCGATGCAATGCTTATGTCATTGCACTGACAATGAAAGTTGGAATCACCGCCTATGGCGTTCGTGTAATCTCCTGCTACTCTTCCACGAAATGAATTATTAAAATACTATGTTGCGCCGCCATTATTCCGCGACACGCCATCAAAGTGTCTTTTGCTTTCTCATTTCGCGCGATTATTAGCGATCTCATTTAACGCGGCGTTTGCTCTTAAATTTTGCGGTATTAAATTATTAAATTATCAGTAAAAATATTTTTATTTTTATTTTTCCATAATTTTTCTCCTTATTTTTATATAAAAAATCTTGCAATTATATAAAACAATATAATATATAATGTATATTACATAAAAAAAAATTTTTGTATAATATAAAAAATAATAAAAAAAATGTTGTATGATATATAAAAGAATAATAAAAAATTTTGTATAATATATAAAAAATAATAAAAAATTTAGTATAATATATAAAAAATAAGCACCATATATCAGACAATTTTTAAAAATTTTCTTAATATCTTTTAAGATATATTTTTTTAAATGTCTTTCTCGAGAAAATAGCGGATTAAAATGTTAATTAATTGATTATCTTCCTCGATTTTAGATCCATATATTATATGTATTTTTTTTTATTATCAAAATATGAAACATTTGAAATTTATGATTTTCTTGGAAAAAAATATCTTAGTATCTTATCTTATCTTAGGATTTCCAAATGTAAATCTTCAAGCGAAAAAATCTGGCACTTTGTGACGAGAAGCTTGCCAAAGTTCTTCCTCAAAGTTTCTCGAAATTGAAGCGTATTTGACTTGATGGGAATAGTTGAGTGCTCTCGGAATATCTTTTAAAGATCTTGAACGGACGATAAAGATCTTTTTCCTTCCATCATTAAATTTAAACGTTATAGAAACGACTTTTGTTGTGGTGAAAAAAATATTACCGTGGATATTGGCGTTTCCTGGAGCAGGGAAATTTTCGATTCTACTGATAATTAAATACTTGAAGTGTGTTTCATGAGTCGGAGAATAAAAATCAATGCGTAATTTTGAAAATAAGTCGATTAAGGATACTTAGTTTAACGACAAGTATATGTATTCTCGAATTTTTATACGCAAGCAAAATATCGAGTCGATTGGAAGAAAACACTTGGAATCGAGACATATCGACCTAACGAATGGAAGTGAAAGGACGCAATGTATATGATTAATGAGAGAAATATTAACATAAATTAACATCAAATTCAACTTGAATTTTAAACGTTTCAGTTTTTTATCTCTTACGACTCTCGAAAATTACATAAGTCATAGGAAAGAGGACAAAAATCCGATTCGCTTTGGATGACCCGACTATCTTGCTCTCGCAAAGTCGTTGGCCTCTGTCGAATAAAAAGAGCGCGATATCGTTTTTTGCGATATATATAAACGCGGTTTAATCCCCTCTTGTATATATTGCAACCACAGTAGTATATCTTCCTGGTAAACTTGATCGAATCGCGCGTTTTCCAACGTCGCGGGGTATTCGCGGTCGCAAGTGCATCGTCAATATTAATCCAATGCGCGAATACCAGAAATACTCTGAATAGTAAGAGCTCTACTTGCGATATCTGCAACGAAGAAAACGGATCAAGCAATCGCCTCGAAACCGGTTGCCAGGAAGTATCGTCGAATAGCAGCGGCTACTCGCTCGACAGATCCCCTACTTAAGGATCACACATGGAAGGGAACTGCACGATCGCGTATTCGTAGATGAACCTCGCCACGAGCACAATTTCCCGACATTTACACAAATAACATTTATTTTATATAATTTATTATTTTTTAATTTTATTTCTTCATTTTATTTTTTAATTTTTAAATTTGCCTTTTATTTTTTAAATAAAAAGATTTCTGCACAGACGATAAATTAAATGTCTAAATATCGCGTTAAATGAGGATGATACGATCAATGTTAACGAATTAAATTTTTAAAATATGGCAATCGAGATTATTTAATCGAGTTTGTCGACCTGATCCCCAGGTGTTTGGGCTGATTATGATTACATCGGAGATGGTCGGAGAAGGAAACTGCATGATCGCGTACTCGTAGATGAACCTCGCCACGAGCACAATTTCCCGATATTTACGCCAATAACATTTATTTTATATAATTTATTATTTTTTAATTTTATTTCATTTTATTTTTTAATTTTTAAATTTGCCTTTTATTTTTTAAATAAAAAGATTTCTGCACAAATGATAAATTAAATGTCTAAATATCGCGTTAAATGAGGACGATACGATCAATGTTAACGAGTTAAATTAATTTAAAATATGGCAATCGAGATTATATAATCGAGTTTTTCGACCTGATCCCCAGGTGTTTGGTTCGGTTATGATTACATCGGAGATGGTCGGCCTGTAATAGCGAGTTCCTGCGACTGCAGGAAGTGCATACGAGCGGTATATACTCGGGACGTGGATTAAGCTCGCGCGTGAGCGACGTCGATGACATCTGTTACAATCTGTCGGAAACAAAGTCACGTTCGTGCGTTAATCACGTTGGCACGATTACGGTGTCTCCAATGTCAAAGTCAGGGTTGGTTTTCATCTCCGGAAGCGAGACGCGTGCGCGCGCGCATGGACCGCATTTATTATCCCCTAATTATGATCTCAATACGAGCGAATCGTGAAACGTATCATAAATTTTCTACTATTTTTTACGGATATCCTGCAAATTCTCGTGTGTTTAGATTGTACTATTGGCATTAATCTTTTCATTTTAAATTGTTGAGATTTGATTAATAAATTATAATCAGAAAAATCCAATGAAAAGAAAAAAATATACTAAATTTTGGTTTTGTTGTTTCTTCATAAACATTTTACACAAACACGAATACATTTTTACCAAAAATTTCATACTTTTCAGATTTTACATCATTTTTATAAATCAAATTTTTACGCTGTTCTTTCGAAATAATAATTTTTTATACATACTTGTGATATATTTTATCTCTCCTCTTGTTTAAATACAGATAGTCGTGCGTGCATAATACTACTTGAGTAAAACAAGTGGATAACTTCAAACTGATAATGTCTGTCAATAATAAATTCTTGGATTACACACTAAATATTGTGATTTTCAATTCGTTTCGAAAACGACGCGATGCGTTATTTATGCGATATCGTCAATCATTGTCGTTTCCACATCTGCGTTATAACTGTTCTCATACAAATCACGTCATGTTAATCTCGTAGCCGCAACATATAAATATTTAAAAGAAAGGCAAGTATCATTTGTGATGACTTGGAGGGGATCGCGTGATACATTTTACGGTGGAATTTTTTACGGCCGCGTAATAAACATCAGACAGCTCTAACCCTTATAAAACGATTACGTCAAATGCTCTACGCCTCATTGCGCCTCGCTACGAGACCAAGTGCAAATAACGATACAGCTTCAGCCGCGTCCTTGGGATTCCTACCTCTGGGCCTGCCAAAGGACTTCATAGCCTTGATTCCCATTCCGGCATAAGTGTCGCCGCCGTAATCAACGTACATGAGTGCCGATCTTGGGTAATCACTGCACATGTACGTGGTCCAGGATTGTCAGAGTCATTCGTCCGGTTCCTCTGGTCTCGCCCTAACTCGCTGTCCCCTCGTCCCTTGCTCTCTCTCTCTCTCAGGACACGAATTCGCAGCATCCAAATCGAAGATGAGCGAAGACGCTAAAGATGTTTGGGGTTCGTTGCCGCGGAACCAAACTGGCACGATTGGTAATCACATGTCGATTCGTGGCAGATCTTCAGGTTCATCATGGAACCAACTTTCGGCCAAACTGGAAAGCACCTAAGCTCCCTTTATCCCATGATAAAGCGGGTAGATCCCCGTCGACAAGTCGACAGGCTGGTCACTGTCATCAGGCTGAATCACCAATAAGTACACTTTGGATTGAGCGAAACGAAGCGACGAGGACGATTGTCCCGTGCCATTGGAGATTCACCAGGTCCAATCGTTTACGCGAGTGTTCGAGGGTCGCGCACCAGGTCGTCAATCGAGTTGTCAACGACGGGGGACCCGAGATCCCTCGGCGAGAGACGCGCTACCGACTGAACGGGCGGAACACGCGGCGTTTGTGTCCACCATGTGTTTGCTATCAATTCATAACTGCGACCCACACGGGTTATTTCCGAATACCTGCTTGCGCAACTGCCCCGAGGGAGGGCAATGGAGGGGAAGAGAGGCCGAATCGGAGGAGGGCGCGAAGCAGAGTATCCGAAAATATATGATTCCGCGCACTTGACGGGCACACGACGCAACCACACACACGTATACGTGGGAGGCGAGAGGAGAGAGAGAGAGCGCGCGCACGCTCCTCGCACTCGGGACGGTGTGTCGGGATCGAGGCAGAGATCCCCGACCACGAGACGATCTTTCCTTGGGCGCCACCGGAGTTCGTTAAGTCGAAGCGCCACCGTCGTGCAGGTAAGTGCGTACGTGCTGTGAAAGAGAGAGAGGGCTAAAGAGATGGAGAGACGAGGGCAGGAGCTCGGGAGAAGAAGAAGAGGAGAGCAAAGGTGTACGAGAGGAAAGTAGAGGAAGACTCGTCGCGGAGGAGGAGATGGAACGCGAGGAGGGGGAGAGGGAATCGATTCTAGCGAGATTTCTCGCGCACCAAGTCCAAAATACGCGAATTTCCACGCGAGGAACCATAAGAGAAGGACAGGGCGATGGGTAAAACGTGAAAGAAGACTCCCTCGCACGCTATCCAAGAGTGGGAGGAAGACTATTCCTCCCGTTCCTCGAGTCGTGACTCGGTGTCACGGATGGCTAGATTGCATGACAGGCAGGCTTGTAGGTATTAGAGGAGGAAGGAGACACCGGTTTATTATAGGAGAAGCGTGCCGTGTACGGCGACTCGGAGACTGAAAAAGATAGATAAATAGATAGAAAGAGAGAGAGAGAGAGAGAGAGAGAGAGAGAGAGAGAGAGAGAGAGAGAGAGAGAGAGAGAGAGAGAGAGGTGGGCGAGAGGAAGGATAGGAGATGAAATTATGCGAAAAGAGACGCGGACGTTCTTAATAGATACAGACTAGCGAGAGAGAGAGAGAAGCGGTATTTTCAGCTGAATGAAACCGAGAAGGGAAAAAGAGGGGGAAAGCCAGAGGAACAAGAGGGGGGAAAAAAGAAGGCATGTTGGAGCGACGCGAATAGGAATGTGGCATCCGAAAATACGACCCGAGACCGAATTGCCTCTCGAAGAGATAAAAAGCGATAAGATCCGCCGAAGAACACACGTAACGCGCGACCATTCGCGGGGAGAGAGATACCCAGGTGGAATTGACGGAGCGACAAAGACAGCCAGCGAGAGGGGAAAGAGACAGAGAGAGAGGGGAGGAGGGGGAGAGCTCAATGTACGCGCGAGCGAGCACGAGGACAGCGAGAATGAGCGCGAGATGGACGACGGAACCGAAAGAGAGAGAGAGGGAGAGAGACGGAGAAGCACTTGACCCCCCACCACCGGCCACGACGCAGCCTTCTCGCCGAGTTTTATGAATGAATGCTCTCCCGTCACGCGGCGGACTAACACTGGCGTCGGCGCACTTCGCGCGCGCTGTCCCCCTCCCCCCGCCCCTCTCACGTCCCGCGCTGCCAACCGCGCGCGCGCGCTGGCACTCTTCCCCCGCCCCTCCCACGTCCCGCGCCGCCAATCACGCGCGCGCGCAGCCCAAGCCGCGCGAGTGTATTGGCGATGACGACGCGCACGTACGTACACACACGTCCCTCGTCTACGACGCGCGCACGCGAGTAAATACCGAGAGCTGGCTGATACACGGGGGCGCGCAGGTCCGTTTCTTCCTTCATTCGGTTTTGCCGGTTCGTTCATTCATGCCCGAGCCGCACGCTTTAACTGGTAGCTCACCTCGAGAGAGCTCGTCTCGAGAGAGAGAGAGACTCCCACCTCCTCCTCCTCCTCCTCCTTCTTCTTCTTCTCCACGTCGAGCATCGCGTTTGGATCAGATCTCTTTTTCCGCTCGTTCGACGCCGCCGTCGTCGTCGGGACGTTGACGTCACGCTGGATGGAGAAACGAGTCGGCATTTTCCGAGAATGACTGCAGTTCCTCGCGTGACCTTCTTTCGACCACGGCCGGTTAATAGGGCGAACCACGGTGACCTTCGCGCCAGTGCGAAGGGCGTGCGATATAACATTTATATAACATTTGGTAGATCTCGCTTTAGGCGAGGGATTTGAGAAGGTGAATTTTTCCTCGAGTCTTAGGGGAAATTTCTATGATTAAGAAATAATAAAATCGTTAATAACGCTCGTTTTGCGCGCAACTATTTATTTTAAACTATAATCATATTGATTACATGTAATTATTTAGCTACAGTTATTTAATTTTAACTTGGCATGTATCGTCGGCATGAATTAATTCATCTCATCGCGGCAATATTTATGTTGTAGCAAATCGAGGTTTCTATGTCACATGATTAAATAATTCGTGTTTTGAAAGGAATTCATTTAAAATAAATACATAAAATAAATTTATGTTACATTTATATGTATCTTTTCTTTTTATATAAATATACATGTAATAAAAAGATTCCATTTCAGTCTCATTAATGTATTTTATTAAAATATCGCATGTGTATTTTATTAAGTAATATTAGACACCTTAATAAAATATCATTTTATTAAAATATTATTAAATACTATTTAAATATTATTTAATATTTTAATAGAATAATATTTTATTAGACACCTTAATAAAAAGCCATTTTATTAAAATATTAATAAATATTATTAAAATATTATTTAATCTTTTAAATAATATTATTAAATATTACTAAATTATTATTTAATATTTTAGCAGAACAAAATTTTTTACATAGAGTCGCATTAACGCTAATGGATGTCGCGTTAATATAACGATACATTGAGATTTATATGTTTGCATAAATGCTTGTCACGTAGGATTCGCAGACAGATCTTCCACGAGGATGATTCATTCAATTATAGCATCGAAAGAAAATAAAAAACGTAACCCTTCGATCTCCGTTTGCTTTCGCGATAACGAGCGTGCTTTAATGACGCTAATGCACAAATAAATCGCGACGACGATTAAGATTTTTAGCGGAAGCTTAGAGCGGAAACGGCAGATGCGTCGCGCACGCACTTTACAGCCTCCTCTTCGACGATGGAAAAAAAATAGAGAAATAAAAAAAAGAACAAGCAACGTGACGTAATTACACGTAGTTGTCTAAGGCACAAACATCTAGGCTCTGGCAACTTTCGCACGGTGTCTCGTCGGCCGAGGATGTCGTGCGAGTGATTGATGAAAAACTCGTCGCTCGCGAGGGCGCGAGGCTAAAAATTTCCTCCGCGACTTCCGGTAAGTCCAGGGGACTCATTCATAAGCCAGGGTACCGTCAAACGCAACGCGAGGATACGTTTGCTCCTCACTTTGAAGAGGGAGAGGGTCCCTCTTTCTCTGTCTTTCTCTTTCTCGGAGTAGCCACGATTCCGCGAGCTATATTTTCTCGCTGTTTCTTTACATAGGTGTGTACATGTGTATAACTGTACGAATCCGATATCCGGAAACCCCTATTCATCCTCCTTCTCCTTCTCGCAACCGGTTACGCCGCATTTGTTTCGATAAATTAAACTGGGAAACGAATCGGCCGACTCTCTTTGACAGGATGTGGTACTTTAGAATAAACTTCTGGGTTTATCTAGGTGTTTATCTTATCGGATATAGATTGACTTCAACAAACGCTAAACGATAGGTTACTTAATTTCGAGCGAGCTGTTGCGACATAAATCTTGAAGATTATACGATTACGTGATTCTCAAGGAGACTGGAAACTGCATTTTTTAATTATTAATGTTAATAAAATGACAAAAAGCGGGGTTGGCATGTTTTAAACAATGTGTTTAAAACTGTTTGATTAAAACTTGTTTAAAACAGTGGATACTGTTTTAAATATTTTTGTTTTAAACTGTTTTAAACTACTGTTTAGAATTGTTTAAAATATATGATTATTTGGAAAAGAAATTGTAAAAAATATCAAAAACCAACAAAAATTAATAGATGTGTATATTGCAAAAAAGTTTTTGTTTTAGTGTTTTTAATTTTTTATCTATATTTATGTAACATATAGATATAAAAATATAAATAATAAAATAAAAATGATAAGATGGGTATTATTTTAGAATATTTATTTTTGGATATTAAATAACAATCAATACAATAAAGATTACTTAGAAGATATTGACTGATTTTACATTTTACATTCTAGCATTTTAAATTAATAGTACATGACTCATAGCAGATCAGTAGTTCTAAAAAAAAGTTCTTCTTTTAAAAAGAAGAATTGAGATTTTTTATTTTCCCTTTATTTATAATTTATGTTGAAAGTTAAGCATGAGGTTACTTAATAAGAATAGCAAAGGAATCAAAGTATTTTATATTAAATATTATTAACTAGAACTTTTTTTCTCCAAAAATAAATAACTCCAAAAATAAATATTTTGTTAAAATAATACCCATCTGATCATTTTTATTTTATTATTTATATTTTTAATAGCGTTGTCAATTTTGGCAACGTTATTTACAGTTTAACGCTAGCGAAAAATTTAAATATTTACACAGATCAAAGCTATTAAGTGGTTTTTGCTTGTTTAAAACATGCTTTTTTTTGTTTAAAACATGTTTTTTTTACTTTACTTAAAAACATAAATAAAACAAAAAATATTGTTCTAAACAACAAAAACAATGTTTTTTGTTTAAAATAAAAAAACAAGTTTTTTGCCAACCCAAAAAATAAATTGAATTATTCTGGCGCTCTATTGAATATTTTCCACATTTTTTGAAAATTTTAAAAGAAAAAATTCTTAAGATATCGGAATTTTTTTTATCGGTGACGTCACGCATTATTGAATCATTTAGAAGAAGCCCGACTGGCTTGTCGATAAATGAAAATTTCTTTCAATGTCATTACAATTACGATCAATTGGCATAAAACGTATTGAAGTTCAATCAATCAGTTTTGGATGATGCGCACTAGTTGGCCACGACTGATGGAATAATTAATGATTGCGCGCGATTCGCGTTATCGATCTTCATTCACAAGTTCGACGAAGTCGAGTGACGTCACGCGTCAGATGGCAAGAAACCACGGAAGTGGAGAATTTCATTATCGTCGATTAGCGTCGCGGAAATTGATCAAGCGCGTTGCATCATCGGAGATGCTGCAGAATGGGGTTGGAACGATATAGCCGTGGAAATAATAACAATGCAACATTGTGAGAACACCATTGTAGAGGAAGGAGTGACGGACAGGCCGAGGAGCCGCTGGGTGTCGAGGGAAAAGAAGAAAAGGGGAAGAAGCGACGAGAGATAGATAACGGGAGAGGATAAAGAGAGCGAGGGGCGAAGGGGAGGCTTTCGCGCCGAAGGGGGCGACTCAACCTGAGAGAAAGAGAAAGACAGAGGGGGGGATGAACGGAAAAGGATGACCGCAGGAAGGAAGTTGGCCTGGCCCCGGTGTACAGGTTGTTGTCTGGCAACACCTACGGTGATCAAAGAAAGAAGGAGGAGGAGGAGAGAGGAGCGAGCAACAGGACGAGAAGGGAAAAAAGACGCAAGACGGAGGCTCCGAGAGGTGAAGGAGAAGAAGGGGGAGGAGAGGATGCAGGAAGACAAAAGGAACGCGAATAGCGGATAGCGATAGAGAGAGCAGAAGCCGGACCCGCGGTTGGACGCCGGTATATAACTTGCCGAAGGCTGAGCAGGTTTTTGCTACATTTTTTGCGACGTTTATTATAACTAGGAAGCTGATGTGCTTCTCTCCCCGAAGCCCTACCTCGTAATCTCACCGATCGGAGTGTGTTCGTGATACACACACGTTACACACATGTGGAACGTTTATCGGAGCGTACGCTCACCGTTGAAAG